CTAGAAATAACCCGTGGAAAACCACGGACGCCCAGCATTTATATATGTTGTAAAAATTTTCTATGTTGAGCGTTCCGGACAGAAGGACAGATATGTGTATATTCTTATTCTTATATTCTTATTCTTAATTCTTATTCTTATTCTTATGTATATATGTTGAGCGTTCCGGACAGACAGACAGATATGTCTTGACTATTCTTATGTATAAATAGACTATTAATTTTGTCAAAGATTTTATGAAATATTGTTACGAACCTTTTCATTTTTTTGTCTCAGTGGTGTATCATTGTTGGATTTTCTCGTTGATGATTGCATTCGACTAGAGTTTGTTGATAATGAAAATGTTTTTTTAACAATAACATCAAATGTACGAATATTTGAAGCACTACAAGATTTTCGTCGACGCGTAGAATTAGAAGATTGATTATCATTTATAGTCGATGATGTATTTGTTGAAGCTGATCGAGTTCGACGTAAACGTTGAGGTGTTTGTTGGCTAACTTCAGATGATAATACTTTCGGTTGATGAGAATCGTTTGTAGATGAAAAAAGGACTTTAGTATGACGAGATGAACGACGTTTTGTTGAATCTAGAAAAAAATTATATCATGAGAGATTATATTTAGCACATACTCAGTAAATTTAATCTTACTTTGACTAGATGATGATATTTTTTCTACAGTTGGTATATCAATATCCATTTTTTGTTCTTCTTCTTCATTGTCTCCATTCATATTTATTGCTTGTGTATCTCTTGAACATTCATCAACTTTCATTTCTAAATCATGTTCATCTGCTCTTGTCATCATTTTATTAGACCCTTTTTGAGATGGTGGAATTTCATTACTGTCTTCATCATGATCTTCATCAGTTTTATCAGCTATTGATTCTATTTCATCACTCTCAACTCCTGTTATCTCTGTTTCATCATTTAATTGTTGTGAACCGTTTTCTTTTTGATTCGTTTTTATTAATTTACGACGTGGAGTGTTCTGAATCATTAATGAACCATCGTCAGAAGCGGGACGTTTAGGAGTCTAAATTGTCAAATAATTTATGAGAAAAGAAACACTTCTTTCAACAGAACGCCTTCATAATGAGATTAATACACTTATTACAACTTAACTGGGAAAACCATGATATTTCAGGAAAAAAAGAATATTACTGCTGTCCATTTCAAAATATAAAGACCACACGTTGTGGACAGGCGTTACGATATTCCTGTTTTTCACCGTTTACGCGTTATATCTCGGTTATGGTGAGAGACAGGTCTGAAATTTTTACTGCTGATAGATGAACTCGGGTTATACTATCAAAAAATTTTCAAGGGCTTTCGTTGAGCCCATCGGAAGTTAATAGCAAAATAGAGACCGTTACAGAAGGACAAAAAAATAGAATTTTTTTTCACTACCTTCCAACTTCGTTTTTTTATGAACTGGAGAATAATAGAAAACACTCTTCTAGACAAAAGTTATGCAGTTTTTAGGACATCTACTTATTTTTAAAACTGGTTCACGTAGCGAATAAAAGTCTCAAAATACCCGCCGTTATGGAATACTATCTGTTTCAAATTAGAAGGTTAAACTCGTTGGCAGAGGTACGCGGAAAAATATATTCTTAATAGAAATAGATAGTTTTCGATGTGCTCTTTCCAATGCACTGTAAAATAAGTTAAAAAATCAGGTTATCTTGAAGGAAAATCGTTTTACAAAACTGGTTTTCCAGTAAACCATTCCGTTTATAAAACTTTTTCGAAACATAAAAAGTCCGAACAAAATGAGCCATTTTGTAGAGAATAGGCTCTTCAACAGTTTAGCATTCCTTTTTAGCGTTTTCTCTGAACATAACCCTAAAGCACGTTGAACGTGAACGCGAATGTTCTGGTGAACGTTAACCTTATTTTATATGAACGGTGTTGATCTTGTGTGGAATGAATAGTATTACAAAACGTTATATACCAATTTCACCTAGT